ATCATGAAGTGTCCCGAAGTGATGAATGCCTTGAAGACCGTGAAAACAACCTTTATGACCATTTTCGGGTAGCTTGAACATATGGCCATAAAGGTTGCCTTCATGAACTTCGGGGCGTTCATCACTTCGGGATGCTTCATGGTTTTCAGATAGCTTGAACAGATGGCCATAAGGGTTGCTTTCATGCTCTTCGGAACGTTCATCACTTTGGGATGCTTCATGATTTTCGGGGAACTAGAACCGATGGTCATAAGGATTGCTTTCATGGTCTTCGGGATGTTCATCACTTCAGGTTGCTTCATCATTTTCGGATAGTTGAAACAGATGGCCATAAGGGTTGCTTTCATGCTCTTCTGGACGTTCATCACTTCGGGATCCTTCATGATTTTCGGGTAGCTTGAACAGATAGTCACAAAAATTGCTTGCATGGTCTTCGAGACGTTCGTCACTTCGGGATGCTTCATGATTTTCGGGTAGCTTCGGGATGTTATAAGGGTTGCTACCTGAAAATCATGAAGCATCTCGAAGTGATGAACATCCCGAAGACCATGAAAGCAACCCTTATGGCCATCTGTTCAAAATACCCAAAAATCATGAAGCGTCCTGAAGTGATGAACGTCTCGAAGACCATGAAAGCAACCCTTATGACCATTTGTTCAAATACATAAAAACCATGAAGCATCCCGAAGTGATGAACGTCATGAAGACCATAAAAGCAACTCTTGTGGCCACTATTCAAGCTACTTCGGGATACTTCATGATTTTCGGGTAGCTTAATACACATGTGTTTCAAGATCGTGTTTGATATGAAAAGTTGAAAACTCAGTTTACTGTGTGGCTTCACCATGAACAAACTAACCCTCCTCTCGATTTCATGATAGGGAAACTATTTTCAGGATGCACAAACCAACATCATTTTTCCCACTTCACAGTTTTCATATGCGAATTTTCAGGTGTGAGATAACCGCTTGTGGCCAAGACTCGAACCCCCCCTGCGGCCCCTGCTGAACGTTATGGCCAAAATGGGCCCGGTAGCGGTCTACCTGAAACATGTTCGGGGGGGGCGATTTCACGCTCGGACCGAATGCGTTCGGTCCACGTTCGACCGAAACTCCGAACACGTGCGGATGTTCGGTGGGGGGACCAAACGTGTTCGGCGTGCTACCCAACTGCGAATCATAAAACGTTATAAATCTAACAAATCAGAGAGTCCGCAGTGAAAAAGTGGAAGAGCAACATAATTTTTCGAGCCGCAGCGTCGTAGCCAATTATACGGCTTGTGATTTTTATTCCCCTTCTCGATAACACCGTTATTGCACGCCCGATACACGTGCTCATTCCACCAAACATCCAACGTACAACTGCTTGATCCTACATAGGAATGCTTATGCCAAGGAGAAATCAAGATATAAACCAGAGGACCATTGCATCGAAAGAGATCTTCACTATCATTCACCATAGCCAATAGATAGGACCGATAGTTATCAGCCCAGGGGACAAGACCGCGCAAAATAAGCAGGAGGACAACTACTTGATAAAGAGAATTCCATACATCGATCATTTCTCAAATGAGAGACAGACAAAGACCTAGACTCACGACAAGATCTAGCCAAACCCCGTAGAACAACCGCGTTTAGGAGGTCCCATCAAGCAGAATCTGACAGGATGTCCTCTACAACCGCAACGTTGCTTTCCTACGATGATGACTTACCTTGCCCCCACTCCGCATCAGTCCTCTTTTGATGTTCGTTGCCTGCATCAAACATTTTGTCAGCGTTTCACTATGCCAACTCCTCCACGGTGGCCTCGATGCTTCTGTAGTCAATCCTTGCCTCCTGGCATAGGGGTACCAACCCTGTTTTCTTAAGCACACACAGTCTTTTCCTCTCGTCTTGCAGGAAGGCGAAGTGGTCGTTCGCTTTTTTCGCACTCCCCTCCATTCTAGGCATTCTTGCGGGTGTCGCCTTCATCTTTCCACGACGACCTGTTCGGAAGCCTGCATTGGCTGCTTCCTCCATTCTTTCCTTGAGATTTGAGAAAGGTCCCCGAGGTGTACCGCATCCAGCCTGTCCCGTGGACAGTTGACTCATCTGTTCTCATAGCCGTATTACTTTTGCTTCTGTTTCCACGCGCTTGGCTTCGACCAGGGCCCATCGTTCTTTAAGCATATCCACCTCTGTTTGGTCACACCGTCGCCGCTCCTGTAATTCGGCCAGTTCCTCTCACAAACGCCTAGTTTCCTCAAGCGTGCCAGCCAATCTGCATCGAGTTGCCGTCCGTCCTTCAATTTTTGGTGCAGATACATCGATGCTTCCTTGCTTATTTCTCGGACGTAAAGCTTCATTTCGCCACTGCATTGCCTCCTCCTCTGTCTCTTCATTTCGCTTCTTTAGTGCTTCCGATTCCGACCGCAGAGCCTCGATCTGCTTGACAAGCTCACATCTTCCCGAGCTTTCTCGATTCTCCTTTATATCTCGTATCTCCCATCTCAGTGCAGCAAGATCACCTTCCATTTGTTGTTTAAGTTCAGATTCCTTCTTCTTAAGCTCCGCGTTCTCCCTCTACAATTGATCCACCATATTAGTTGCCGGCATCACCTCCTTGATACCATACTTTTGTCATAAATCTTCGTTTTCTTGTCGAAAGCAGCTCACCTCATCGTTAGCAGTACTTGTGCTCGCCTGGTCCTTCCCCTTACCGAGGACTGTTCCGTACATTTTTGCCAGCCTGGCCTCCAATCTGTCTCCCATCTGATTTTCGAAGTCCTCACGCTCCTTCTTGAGTTTCGCCCCCCGTTCTTCTTCCTCTCGTCGTTTCTTCTCGCGTTCGGCAGCCTTCAGCTCCTCCTCCTTCTTCTGGGCTGCACACACAAACGCGTTACAATTGTCCAGTATCTGCTGGTTGCGAGTCCACCATCCTGTACGTGGAGCTCCTGCGTAAGAGTCTGTGGCTGCAGTGGTATTGCTGCCCGTTGGTACCGCTGTTGGGACCACCGTCGATGGTGCGCCTGGAGCCGGTAAAGCCAAGAGAGGTGGAGCGTTGGCCCCGGTTGCCACCGGCTGTCATTGGAAGACAAACTTGTGCGGACACTCTCGCGCCCGGTGGCCATGCTGGCCATAGTTAAAACAATCTCCTCGAATCAGCAGCCATCATGCTAACAGAACAAAAATAGAAAGGTACGGCGAAAAAAGAAGGAAAGCAGGGTGAGAGTAATATCATTCGTTGGCTAATCAGATACAAGGAACACAGCCACACTACCGTAATGCGATTTTTACGGTGGTTACAACGCGAGTTGCTGAACGAGGCATCAATCCATTATAGCGAATGCAATCGTAAAAGGCCAAAGGACAACATGAAAAGAGAGAGAGAGAGAGAGAGAGAGAGAGAGAGAGAGAGAGAGAGAGAGAGAGAGAGAGAGAGAGAGAGAGAGAGAGAGAGATCCCGAAACGCGACCAGGTGGTCGTGAGATAAACATTCAAACACCGCCAAAAGACATCGAATGATAAACTTGAAGTGCTGGCGCAGCGAAGCTACGCTGCGTTTCATCCGGCTGCCAACTGGAATCATCAGGGGTCTCGTCTTGAGCCGTGAAAGGAGGGACTGAGAGAATAGAACGACGAGAATAAGTACTACTGAGAATACCGGAAATGCCCTACTCCTGAAATTCCAAAAGGCCAGGTTCAAAGAATGGAAAGGGTAGAGAAGAAAGGAGATTCCAAGACAAGTGGGCCAAAGTACTAGACAGGGTCCAGAAGTTCCATCCGAGGTTTCCAGACCCTCCAAGTAGGATACCAGTCTACAGACCAGACCCAGAAGTGAGAGTGGCGTGTCGTCAAGAAAAAGACCGCCGTGTGAAACGGATTAAGAGGACAAAGCAGGATACCCGCCACTTCTCCAATCGCCATGCGTCCCCCAATCAGTCCCGTAAGTCAGCAGACCCCACAGTTACGGGAAAATTTGAAAAGAAAAGAAAAGAAAAATAAGGCAGCTGAAGCTCAAGGGCGGCTGGGGCAAAATTGCACTTCAACTCAAGGCAGCTGCAGGAGGTCTCTTCAAAGGCGACATGCCAGCAAGGGCGTGAAAAGTGGGGTTTTTTCAATTTTTTTGGTGTTTTTCTTTTTTGTCCCAGCAGGAGATCCTGGTCCAGGATTGGTCAAGCTGTGGCACAGCCTGTTCAAGTGTTTCCTCAAGTGTACGTGGAACCATAACTCGAGTTAGTGTAAATTACTCACAATTTCTTGTTTAGGGCGCGCTTGAAACTCAAGGGTCTTCAAGTGGTGTGAAACGAGGCCGTAAGTATGTCACATGAATGAATGAGCATTGCATGCCTCAGGCTCATTGAGGTCCCAAACCCTCACCAGGGGCAGGCCAGTCATGGCTGGGGCTATGTAGAAACTAATGCCATGAACAACCGCTTGGCCACCATATGTACCTGCAGTGAAAAAGTGTTGTCATATTTGACTTTCAGGAACTGCAATTTTGTGCACCAATCCAAAACTGCCCTAAGCCACATTCTCAGCTGACTGACAACTTAGACTAGTTGGGCCCACAGGAAGTTTTTTTTACCTTTTCTTTTCCTAACTGCTGTGGGGAGGCTATTATCAGTGGTTGATAGTAGCAATTGCCTGCAGTAGGCCTTTCCCCTTGAGCAGGCTCCTGCCCGTTGGTGGAGAGCATCACCTGCTGAGAAACGGGCTCAGTGTCCCAAACAATATATTAGAGTATGGTGTCCCGTTGGGTTCCCACTAGCCAGGGGCCCATGAGTGCTAAGGCATTAGCCTTTTGTCTGTCTGTGTTACTGCCCCCTCCAATTTACCTACCTCCTACTCAGCTGTTAGTGTTGTGTCGCCTGTGCCCAACCTGCCTATCCTTTTCTCTCCGCATGACTAGATGGATCCCTGTGTGTTCTACAAGTGACTTTGAGCCCACAGGACAATGTCACACACAGCCCACGTTTCACTTTGAGGGAGTGGTGGATGATGGACAACTATTTCGGTAGTACTGTGCCACTTTATGAGTGCTCTGTCTGTTTGTATGCTGACCATGTAGAGAGTGTTTGATGAGTAGGATGAGCAAATGGCAGCGAGAGGGAGTGGGAATGTGAAATGGTGTCACACGGTTTCTTTCTTCGGACCACCAGAATTACACTGGACGAAGAACCTGCGGAATTGATATATCGTTGGGTAATAGGTTTGGCTCCATTGAGGACAAATTGTGAGCTTCATGGTTGTTTGATCTGTCTGTCTTTTGCAATGGTTTTGCAGGGTGTGGGTCCCTGATCTTTTAATGAACGAGTGCTGGATGGATGTTTGAAACATTCTCAGGGCCACACTTCTCATCTTTTCTCTCTCTGTGTTGTCTTGCAACCATGCTGATACCAATGTATTTATGGATGTTTCTATGTGCAGATATTTGGAATGCGAGTCACTGACTACCCGCAGCTCACATCCCTTGCCAAGGAGTTTGAGCCATATGGCCAATTATGGAAAATGTGTGGGGAGTTCACCCGAGCACTTCCTGAATGGATGGATGGCCCTTTTACAAATATTGATGCAGATGCCATGGCAGCTGACATTGACCGGTTGTCACGTGGAACGAAACGGTGGACCAGAATGCTGCTGGGGGATGCAGCAATTGCTGCAGCTGAGCTAAAAGGGCGTGTGGAGAGCTTCCAGGTGAGTGCTGCCGAAATTCGGTCTCCCATGAGATTTTGGTCTGCTGCAGGTTCAGCCTTACTGATCCCGGTAGTGCAATCAGACTTGCTTTCTTGCTCACTTCGCATTCATGCAAACAGATGGCAATTCACACTGGCGCTGTGCGCCCACACAAAGCTCAGAGATAGTCAAGCCGAGAACACAGTTCAGTTACAAACTCGCTTCCAACTGGCTATGCCGCCTGAGCGCCCACACATCCTCTGTCCAACACTGTGTTCACCCAACTGTTCAAACGCACTCGACTTCGGATCTCCCTGGATATCCCACGCACATACACGCTGTAACACACACACACCCACTCACTCTGACTAACACCTATTGCTAGCTATGGCAGCTATGGCCGCCAACTACTACTATCTACAAGCAGCTATGGCTGCGCTAATCTCCACCTCAGCCCACTTCAACTTCGGGAAACTGCAGACCACCTCGCACAAGACGCTAGGGCAGCGCTTCCTCATGGCTCACGCAGGAATGAATGAATGGCTGGCCGCTGCTCTTGCTTTATACTTCTGTGAGTCGCTGGTCTGCCCCTTTCCATCGGTCCCATGGTGCACACAGTCCCATATGGTACTTGCTGACTGGACAAAGTGAGACTGGGACTGGGTACTGCTGACTAAGCGAACTTGGACTCGCCACTTGCCCACTTGCCTCTGGTCTGCTGTGAATAACGTGAGAAAAACTCAAAAGGCCACTCCGGACCTTCCGGAAGTCTGTAGACTTGGCTTTTCGGGACTGTAGCAGCTACGACCTTGACCTTTCGAAATTACTACAGCTACGACCGTAACACAACTACGACCCCTACTCGATAGACCTACAGATCGAACCCTTACAGCTACACAGACCTACGACAGACAACAGTCAACTACTAAAACACAGGTCACGGGTTCAAACCCAAAGGGGTCGACTCAATACTGTACACGGGTGTGGCAAGGTCTAGGGATCGAGCCCTGGGATCTGTATCTGCTACTGCCAATGGTTAAAACCGTTTCACTCCCGCCGGCTTAAATTCGAGGTCCTCCGAGAATACTTCAGTCTAAGGTAGGACCTTTACCTTTCTTATCCCTCTCATAGGCTCGGACTATATCGGGAGCTGTCTCTAGGAGTTCTGTTAGGGTGAACCAGCGGTCGTCTTCTGGTTCTTGAAAAGAGAACCTCACTTTATATTGTTTCTGTGGACGACCTCTACCTCCTGTTCTGAACACATCTTCACCCACTATGCCATCAATGTCGTACCGGGAATTCTTTGTCAAATTAAATAAAGTGAAGCTTACGGAAACCAAATATTTCTGTTTTTTAGAAATCGTAGGTGTTGGATATAAAGCTAGTACTAATCCACAGAGCTCCATACTTACCTTGAAATTAGGATTTAGTCACGATATGAAACTTCAAGCTCCGCCCTCAGTTCGTGTGTTTTGCTTTCCATCCATGTCCGGAGGGATCATGGACCTTCGTGATGGAAACTCTTGGCTTGTGATACATGGCAACAACTTTGACGCGTGAAAAACTGGGTAGGTGTGGAGATGTGATGGAATTTCAACTGTGTAGGACGATCCATCCTCGCCGCCCTTAACGTCTAAGACTGGCCACGGTCCTCAGTATGCGGGCAATAGTTTTTGTGAGATGTTTTCCTCAGGAGCAAATTCTTTCGACTTAACCCAGACTAAGTCGCCTACTTGGAACTGTGATGGGCGACAATGCTTATTGCTTGCTCTATCATTCTATGTTGGGCCTTCCTGAGGTTCTCTGTAACGGTAGCAATCTCTTTTTCATAGTGTAGTGCAAACTCCCTAGTACCGGGTGGTAGCCTTTGAATCTGATCCCAGTTCAGTCCCTCAAACGTTCTACGCGGTCTAAAGGACTTATGAGACTCGTTGGGAGTGCGACAAGTCTCTAAGTGCACGCTGTTATTCTATGCGCTGGCTACGTTGGGAAGCATCTCATCCCAATTAAGCTGATCAGGTCTAATATACATTATGAGAACTTGCTGCAGGATTTCGTTCATCTGTTCAGTTTGACCGTTAGTCTCAGGATGACGGCTAGATGACATCAACAACCTAGAGCTATAGACTCTCATCAACTCCTGCCTGTTCTGACTAGTGAACCTGGTATCTCTGTCACTAACTATTGACAGCGGGAGACCATGTTCACTTACCCAATGATCAAAGAACTTGTCTATGACTAAATATGTTCATGCCTTTGCGGGTAAAGGAACAAAGACTGCATATTTACTAAATCTATCAACTATAACCATGACTTGGCTCGTGTCATGCCTACTCTTGACCCCAACATCCATAAAGTCAATGGACACACAATCTCCGGGTCCTGTCGGAATAGGCAGGGGTCTGAGAAGACCAAGAGGGGCCCGCGTAGTGGTCTTATTTCGTTGGCAGACTTTGCAATTGCGTACATACTCTATGCAGTCGGTCTTCATACTTGGCCATGTATACGCGCGTATGAGGTTGGTTAACGTCTTCTGCCAACTAAAATGTCCCTCTCTGTCGTGACATTCCCCTAAGATCAAACTACGGATCTCTTCACTATCGGGAACGCACAAACGGTCAGCTACGTTAGTCTTCTCAAATAGTAACCCATCTGTAGTGCGGTAGTCTGGCTCAGACTCTGGAGACTCCTTACCTCTCTTGAGGAGATCCCTATAAACAGGGTCCTGCGCACATGCTCTCTTTCACTTTCTGTTGCAGGTCTCTCCCTATATCCAGATAGTGAACTATCGCTCCAAAGTAATCAGCCGTCCTACTCACAGAGTCCGTGACTACATTATATTTCCCTTTCACTGGCTTGAGATCAAGGTCAAACTGATCTATTTCAGCGGCCCACCTAGTAAGCTTAGGTGTCATCTTGGCTTGCGTCTTCAGCTACCTCAATGTCTCGTGGTCTGAATAAACTTTGAAGTGCCTCCCAAGCAAGTAGTGCTTCCAGTGATCTAGTGCCTGCCTGAGAGCGTAGAGTTCCCTCGCATACGTAGATGTCGCTACCTTCTCTGAAGGCATCCTGACAGACATGAACTCTACGGGTCTATAGCCATTGCCATCATCTTGCTGTAACACAACACCTATACCATACTGACTTGTGTCAATGGTGACGACAAGAGGCAAAGACGGATCGACTACCCTAAGGACTGGATATTCTATCGACCCCAGCTTTAACTTCTTCAAGGTCGATGTACAGTCTCTATCTTATTCCCAAATTGCCTCTTTCTTCAACAATCGGCAAAGGGGTGCAACAATAGTGGAAAAGTTCCTCACGGACTTCCTATAGTAGTTGGCTAAGCCTAGGAATGACCACAACTCTGTCAATGTGCGGGGCGTTGGCCAATCTCTAATCGTTGCTATCTTGATGTCCTTAGGTTTAATGCCATCTCCATCTAAGACTTGGCCCAAGTACAAAACTTGCGTTTTGGCCCACTCACACTTCTTTGCGTTGATCTTGAAGTTAGCTTAGCTCAGCTTCTCCAAAACCTGCCTCAGATGACCCTCATGCTCCTGGAGGATCTTACTAAAAACTAGAATATCATATAGTATACTACTACAAATCTATTTAACCACGGCCTGAACAAATCGTTCATGCAACGTTGGAATGTAGCTGGCGCATTGGTTAGTCCAAAGGGCATGACTATAAACTCGTAATGCCCATACCTCGTCTTGAATGCCGTCTTGTACTGTTCATCAGGGTGGACCTCTATCTGATGATAGCCTAACTTCAAATCTATCTTAGAGAAGTATTTGCAGCCCTGCACCCGATCTAACAGATCATCTATACGGGGCAGTGGTTCTGCATTCTTCACTGTGACGGCATTGAGACCCCTATAGTCTATGCACATTCTAAGCTCTCCCTCCTTCTTGGGGACGAAAATAACATGTGCTGGGCATAATCCAACCCTTCTCCAGGAGATCGTCTAACTGTTAGGGTAGCTCCTCTAGCTCCCTTGGGGACATCCTATAGATGGCTCCCTTAGGAGTCCTACTGCCAGGCTTTATCTCAATACGATGTTGAATGGGTCGTTGCACGACTCCTGTAGGCGGCTTAGCTAAGTCTGTCAACTCCTCCAGCAGCTTGGCAATAGCCGAATCAAGGGGGTTCTCTTTCATAGGCTCAGTGACAAGCCTAACATAGGCTACGGAAACCTGTTCTTCTAGTTGCTCCTTCTTTACTAATCGCGTGAACGCGGGGACACTGAGACAACAATGTGTCAGAATGTTGTCTACTCCTGACACATGAAATAGGCGAGCAGTCTTAACTTCGCCTGATGGACTAGGGAGCCTACACTCGTGCTCTCTTAAATGGAGTGTGGCCCCTGATGCCTCTCCCAGTCTATTCCTAGGACCATGTCGAAAGGAAGGTTGTCCTCTATGAGGAGAGTCAGGGAATGAAGAACTTTCTCCACCTTCTCATCCTTCTCTAGGCGAAAGTACACCTGGACTCCCTCTACATAATCCTTGACTCGCATAGTGCGATTGTCTGCGAGGATACTGACTATAGGATCTCCTAACTTCTGGACTTTCAGATTTAACTTCAGCTTCTGCAGCGCTTTCCTACTAATATAGCTCCGGGTGCTCCCACTGTCTATAAGGGCCTCTACTCTGCCTCTATAGACCTCTACATCTACTAAAACTAGTTGTCCTTTCGCATCCTTCTTCATCTTGGCCCAGGCAGGCATCCTCTCCTTCAACTCTTCTGCCACGCCTATGAGGGAAGTGCCTAGAGATACTCTAACACAAGCAGCCTGTGGACACTTGTCTAGGCACTAGCCAGCAACCTCTGCCATAGACACATGTGGTTTGGGAGTTTTTGTGTGGTGCGCGCACTCTTCTTCACATGGTCTAGGGGTAGGGGCAGTTGGAACCCCTACCGGTGGTTGCCTTTTGCTGCCTGTGCAGCAAACCGGGCCTCTCTGTATTTAATAATATGACCAGGGTCACCGCAATAGATACACTGATCCTGATCTATCCTCCTCTATCAAACCGTCTGTTCTCGGCCCAAGTCTTCCCAGGGTCTGCCTTGCGGCAAACCAGGGTGCCATCCACCCCTCCTGGGAGGTGATTGATTGAAACGAGAGCGGTTTTGCGGGGCACCTTGACCCCTACCTCCCGCTTGGTGGCCTCCTCTGCCACCAACCCCCTGATCACTCTGTCCTCGACCCCGGAAGCCTGACCCCCTTGGCCCCAGCCTCCTCCTCTACCTTGCGGCCTCCCTCCAGCCTCGACAACAGCGTAAGTCCTCCCCTTACCATCGCCACTGTCATCCTCCTCCAAGCCCCACACTATCTGGTTGTAAGGGACCTGTTCCATACCACCCTCATCTAATGTAAGGATCAGGTGGTCCTTGCCCTTAACCTGACCTGAGCTGGTATGACCTTTCCACTTTCTTACCCTTATCAAGGTCCTTATGCCAGAAAGTGGAAAACGGTTATGGACTACGCTTCAAATGCTACCACTTCCCTACTCAAAGTATCGTAGGTCGTGGTAGACTCCCTACTCTTTTCAAAGAAGTGTTCACGCAAAGGTTCCGACATGGCACGATAAAATAAGTTGACCAACTGGGTTTCAGTTACCCCATGGTCAGGGACGGCGACCAGTTCATCCATAACGCCCTTGAGTGCTCTAGCAGACTAGCACTCCTCCACTGGCGGGAATAGATGGTCTGTAGTTTGTCAGAAGCTCTAACACTTCGCATGACATCTGCAAACCTCTTGCGTAGTAACTTAAGGAAGTCACTCAGGGAAGTAATTAGGGAATACGCGACCATATCATTCTCGCACTTAGCAGCACGACACAACGACCTGGCGAAGCTAGCTGCTTCGTCTTTAAGGGCATGGAAGGCAATGAGGACATGTTCCACAGGGGCTATCTTCTGGAGGTGAACGTAAGAGTTCACATTCGCCTCCTAGTTATCGAAGTTCTCCTCCTTCGTCCCACTGTAGGAATCGGGAAACTTCACCTTAACAGACTCTCTATGGGGACAAACTTCCTCCTCCCTTGGAGCAGCATGTTTTGCGCCTTCTATAGCGCCAGTACATAATCGCTCCGTATTTTCTAACCTTGTGTTCACCTCTGAGCCCATGCGCATCATCATTTTGTGTGCGAACTTTCTAAACCCCAATCTAATGGACCGCAAACTTTAAGTTATATCTTGACTCCTGGCAAATTGATACTGCTCCTCCTGAGCCCTTGCCAAGAGTTCTATGTTACGCGCCATCACTTCCATCTTCCCTACAACATCAGCATGCGCCTCCATTTGTGCTCTTTGCTCCTTCACCGCCTCTAACTCATTGGTCGTCTTACTCACCTCCTCCATTCTCTTTTTCTTCTTCCTGGTCAGATGCAACTTCCATTATAGCTTCTTCTCTTCTTCGATCATCTGACATTTGAGGGGATCTTCTTCGGCTTCCAACTCCTTAATGATCGCCTCCTGTTCTTCCTTGGGGACATATAACATCACCTTCTCCTCTTCTCCCAGGGACAAATTAGCAACCCATTCAGAAACCTTCTTCTCTAGCCAGGGATCCTCCTGCTTTGTGCCACTCGACTCTCCTCTTTCCTTGATACTTCTTCTGATTAGGGGCACGTCTTCTTCCACCTTTTTCTTTTTTTCTTCTCCTTCCTCCACTGCTTTCAACTTTTCTTCCCCCTCCTTTTTCACCCTTTCTAACTCCTCCAACTACTTCCTTTTTGCGGCCTGCTCCTGCAATAAGGCCAACTTCGTGGCCTGCTTTACTACTTCCCTCTTTTCTTTCTTGGTCTTCTACACGGCCAGAATCCTCCCAGCCTCCTCCTCCTGTTCCTTGGTGTAGGGAGTGGTGCTAGCACCACCCCTGGTCTCTACTCTACACGTGAAGGTGTTCCAAAATTCCAAGGGAAAGAGGAGACGCCAAAGGGTCCCCCAAAGGGTCCCCCAAAGGGTCCCCCAAAGGGAGAACCCTACGAGCAAGCCGTACATAGGATAATCATCCATGGTGTTGGGTGCACGACAATGATTGTCCCACTCCTCACCACTTAGACCTACTCTCTGACTTCCTGACGGACTCTCTAAGGACTACAGGATCCGGGTGGGACCCTGTCAACTAGTCTCTAGCCCAGACCTATTACTAATCTGTCACTACTGAACTTTAATGCTGATCAGGAGGCATTTAAGGATATCCCCCCTAACTCCTCAGGAGTTATTTAACGTCGCAGACAAGACGACATTAATTATTTAAGACTCGCTTTCTTCTTCACTTCACATTCATGCAAACAGATGGCAATTCATACTGACGTTGTGCGCCCACACGAAGCTCAGAGATAGTCAAGCCGAGAACACAGTTCACTTACAAACTCGCTTCCAACTGGCTATGGCGCCTGAGCGCCCACATATCCTCTGTCCAACACTGTGTTCACCCAACTGTTCACACACACTCGACTTCGGATCTCCCTGGATATCCCACGCACATACACGTTGTAACACACACACACCCACTCACTCTGACTAACACCTATTGCTAGCTATGGCAGCTATGGCCGCCAACTACTACTATCTAGAAGTAGCTATGGTTGCGCTAATCTCCACCTCAGCCCACTTCAACTTCGGGCAAACTGCAGACCACCTCGCACAAGACGCTAGCCAGCTCTTCCGCATGGCTCACGCAGGAATGAATGAATGGCTGGCCGCTGCCTCTTGATTTATATTTTTGTGAGCCGCTGGTCTGCCCCTTTCCGTCAGTCCCATGGTGCACACAGTCCCATATGGTACTTGCTGACTGGACAAAGTGAGACTGGGACTGGGTACTGCCGACTAAGCGAAGTTGGACTCACCACTTGCCCACTTGCCTCTGGTCTGCTGTGAATAACGTGAGAAAAACTCGAAAGGCCACTTCCGAACCTTCTGGAAGTCTGTAGACTTGGCCTTTCGGGACTGTAGCAGCTACAACCTTGACCTTTCAGAATTACTACAACTACGACCTCTACACAACTATGACCTCTACTCGATAGACCTACAGATCGAACCCCTACAGCTACACAGACCTACGACAGACAATAGTCAACTACCAAAACACATGTCACGGGTTCAAACCCACAGGGGTCGACTCGATACTGTACATGGGTGTGCCAAGGTCTAGGGATCGAGGCCTGGGATCTGTATCTGCTACTGCCAATGGTGAAAACCGTTTCAGTAGGATGTATTGTACTACCAATAGATCGACTTTACTGATCCCCGTGGGGATGGATCGGCTCACATCCCTTGCACTGTACCGTCCTTATCCTTTCTTAGAATTTCACTGTCGTTTCTATAAGCTCATGAAAGCAAGGCAAGCGCTTGATGGTATTCTCCAGAGTAGCGTGCTTCAGGTACCTCATATAGCAAAGGATTTGTCTGCCTACTGCTCGATGCCTCCTTTACGACTATTGGGCTGCAAAGGCCACTGCAGATGGGGTTTTAATCAATAGGAACCTCAATTGAGACCAAGTTCTCACAAAAGGCAAAGTCGCAATGTCTACCCAAGTTCAAACTTGAGTAAGTGCCTAATGCACCAACAGGGGATTACCACGGATGAGTTCATAGCAGTATATTAGGAAGGATACGTCTGAAACAACCTCGATAAGGTTGCAAAATTTGTCGTGAACATATCGTTCTCTCAGCAGAGTTTCAAGCTTCGGTCGACACTTCCAGAAATCCGGTTGTGGAGAGGCCGTGCCATCTGCCATCGATTTGTGAGTGCCACCCTTCAGTTCCTCTACACTTACACCGTGGAATTTGCTTACGTTGTGCTTAAAGAAGAGTTGACCATCGTTCTCTTAAGATAAGAAAGGCCTCCTTATCTATCGGTAGCGGTATGCTCGGACGTTGGTTGACCTAATAAAGAAAACGACCTTTGTGCAGTCCATCTCTGTTCGGTCGGGATTTGAACCCATGATACAATCTTGTTGTATGTTGATTTAGCAAACCAATGTCTTCAGCCACTCATCCATACCTCCCGGAAAAAACGGGATTTGAACCCGCGACTTTTGGCGTGACAGACCAACACTCTAACCAACTAAGCTATTTTTCCATCCGATCTGAAGAAATTGAAACACAAGTCGTTGTTACCAAGGCAGCCCTTCGTGAACCAAGAAACCGACCAAACACACGCTACTAGACTACCGAGTAGAAGTAAGATTACAATAAGTAAATACATATTGCAAATTTTTTTTTTGATTGACGATCGTGATAGTTGATTCCACAGAAACTCTTAAAAATCAATCATCAAACACATAGATGGGTGTCCCGCCGTGTTTTGCATGATTGAGTCTGTATAGTTTGAAATCAAGGTCGCTTGGTGAAAATCCCAAACAATCTAGATAGTCAATTTAGCGTGATAGTCAAAGCTTTTAGCGTTGTTTAATATAATTGGCATTTTAGCCAAAATACTGGAAATAATAAGACCACTTTTACTAGGAGTCACTTTTTTAGTACTAGCTGAAAGTAAAGTAATGGCTTGTATGCAACGTAGAAAATGTCCGAATGTGGTAGTTTGCGGCAACAACCATGGACGGGAACTGGGCAACGTCAACATGGACGGGAACTGGGCAGCAACCATGCAACGTAGAAAAGGTCCGAATACTAGCGACACAAGCGACGACAGCGACGGGAACTGGGCAGCAACCATGAACGACATACAACACAACCAAGGAGGTATTTGACCTACGTCAACGGTACGGATATTGCCTATGGTGCAATAGTGTCACCCACACTACCGCACAATGGCCGGACAAGGGCAAGGCACGGGTACCCCGTCCAGCTAACTCGGGAAACTGAGTTACGCAAGGAGAGGGGCGACACTTCTCCTCACTCCGCCGGAACCGGTTGCCTTGCTAGCAACCGATATCACTACCGGGGAGCATGCGTTAGTCGCTGATTCTTGTGCTACGTATGAGTATTATGCCGCCCAGCTGGTACCACCATTATACCAGCCTAGCCACGTGCACTTAGATAGCGTATGCGCAGCCTGTACACCATCGACAAGTGATCCGGTCAGCTCGCCACTGAATTACGAGGACTCGACGACATGGTCAAGACTTGAGGAGCTTGACCCGCTCATGAGAGAGGACTTCGCTTGGATGCCTCTAACCTCAACCGGAACCTTGCCAAGGCCGCATTGCAACGCCTTGATGGAAAATCTACGCTCCTATTTGCACACTGCAATACCAGCTTCGTTGACGGACGACGGAGTAGCGGTTGTCGATCTCCGCTCCTATCTTGCGAAGATTGACCGCGAGTATGCCACCCAAAGGTACACCGAGACCGACGCGCCTTCGCTCTATATCCGCATTCAAATCGGAAAGGCAACTTGCAGTGCCTTGATTGATTGCGGAGCATCTCGCAATTTCATGAGCCAAGCCTTTATGGCCCGCGCGCAAGTTACACTCGCGGACGGCTGCACGCAAAAGTTAATTGATCGATGCGTCGACGGCGTCCCGGTATACTTTGCACCACTTGCGTGCGAGCCGGTGTCTTTTGACATCCTCGACACCAAGTTCGACATGATTCTAGGCATGTCTTGGTTGCGTAACGCCGATCATCCGGTGAACTTTCATGACCGAACCGTTCACATCCGTGATCGGAACGGAGTGTTAGTGCCATATACGGTCGCGACCCCTCACACTTCGATTGCTTGTCACGTGGTTTCCGTTGCGAGAATTCGCGACGCCATTGCTCGGAATGACGTCGAGGAGATGGGCCTTGTATTCTTGCATGCTCTTCCCTCGTCGGACGGACCAGCCGCGTCACCGCTGGACCCACACATTTCTCACATCTTGGATGAGTATGGAGACGTCTTCGAGGCCCCCACCGGAACGGTTCCGGATAGGCCCATACGTCATAAGATCGCTCTCGAGACTGGCGCCGTCCCTCCGCGTGGATGCATTTACCGCATGAGCGAAGAGGAACTCGAGGTGCTTCGCGCACAACTCGACGACCTCCTTGACAAGGGCTGGATTCGCCCTAGTTGTTCGCCTTACGGTGCCCCTGTTCTCTTCGTCCGGAAGAAGAACAAAGATCTACGGTTATGCATCGATTATAGAAAACTTAACGCCCAAACTGTAAAGAACGCCGGCCCTCTCCCTAGGATCGATGATCTCCTTGAGCGGTTAGGCGGCGCGACGTACTTCTCGAAGTTGGACTTGAAGTCGGGTTACCATCAGATTGAAATCCAGCCTCAAGATCGGTACAAAACCGCGTTCAAGACGCGGTACGGGCACTTTGAGTGGGTTGTCATGCCATTTGGCCTCACCAACGCCCCTGCGACTTTCCAAGCAGCTATGACAACTTAGTTTCGCGACTTGCTCGATCGCAGCGTCCTCATCTACCTCGATGACATCTTGGTTTATAGTAGGACGTTGGACGAGCACATCGTACAGCTTCGCGCTATTCTGGATCGTTTGCGATTGGCCAAGTACAAAGCGAATCTCGACAAGTGTGAGTTCGCCAAGCAGGAGCTTGAGTACTCGGGTCACTATGTCACGCCGAAAGGTATTCGTCCCTTAGCGGACAAGATCCAAGCCATCGTGGATTGGCCGGAACCCAGTTGCACGACGGATGTACATTCTTTCATGGGTTTGGCTGGATATTATCAGCGATTGGTCGAGTCATACTCGAAAGTGGCCGCTCCCTTGTCGATACTTCAGTCCCCAAAGGTGCCCCTCGAGTTCGACGACGCAGCCCGTGGCGCGTTCACTACGTTGAAGGCAGCGATGCAAGCCGCACCTGCCCTCCGTATATACGACCCCACCCTTCCCACCCAAGTGACTACGGACGCTTTGGGATACGGTATTGGTGCGGTGTTGGAACAGTGTCACGAGGACGGTTGGCACCCGGTCGATTATTTTTCCCAAAAGGTGCCTCTCGTCAACACTCTCGACGACGCTAGAAAGAAAGAGCTACTCGCATTCGTCACCGTTCTCAAATGGTGGCGCCACTTTCTTCTCGGYCGTCGGCGTTTTAAATGGAATACGGACAACAATCCGTTGACCTTTTATAAAACGCAGGATACGGTCACTAGCACGATCGGTCGATGGATGTATTACATCGACCATTTCGACTTTGACCCGTGCCACATTCCCGGTCCCGCCAATCGAGCTGCGAACGCCCTCTCACGACGGCCCGATTTTTGTGCCATTGTGACCACGRCATTCGACCTCGATGACGATCTGCAGCCGCATTTCGTCAAAGGTTACAAGTCTGATCCGACTTACTCTACGCTTTACGCAGAGCTTTCATCGGATCACCCGCCGGCTAGCCATTATTGGATTTCCGACGGGTTCCTTCTCCTTCACACAAGAGGAAAGGACTTGTTAGTTGTGCCCCAAGATCGYATCTTACGGACTCGTCTTCTCGGCGAATTCCACGTCGCACGACTTTCAGCACACCTTAGCGTGACCCGCACATTAGCACGCCTCCGCCAGCGTTTTCACTGGCCTGACGTCCTTCACGACGTCACGAGGTACATTGAGTCATGTGCAGTTTGCCACCATAACAAGGGTCGATCCCGAGTCCCCTTCGACGAACTTAAGCCGTTGCCGATTCCTCGGGCACCGCGCCTCTCCATTGCTATGGACGTTACAGGCCCGTTCCCCCGCGATCGCCTCGGCCATGATGATATTCTCACGGTCGTTGACCGTTTGAGCAAGTATGCTCGTTTTCTTCCTTGCAAGTATCATGCTGCAGCGCCTGAGCTCGCACGACTCTTGCACACCGGTTGGATTACCAACCCGGGTGTTCTGGAAGACATGGTGAGCAACCGAGATACTCGCTTCATGTCGGCCTTTTGGACTTCCCTTATGGCTGAGTCCGGTACGACAATGAAGCCGAGCTCGTCTCGGCACCCACAGACGGATGGCCAAACAGAGCGAGCACACCAGACCGCTCAGATGATGTTGCGTACGCTCATCCGTCCCGACCCGAAAGATTGGGTTGACCGACTTCCCGACATCGAGTTCGCCTACAACACTTCGGTGCACCCAGTGATCTGCGTCACACCATTCGAGCTATATCATGGTGGAGAGAAAGCACGGATCTTCGCTGATCTCCTTTTGCCATAGGCTGCCGACATAGACGTCCCTTGCTCTCCCGCTTCCATCTGGAAGTACCCGGACTTGCTGATCAAAGCCCGCGCAAATATGCAAAAGGCTCAGATCCGCATGCAGCAGCAAGCTAACCGACGTCGACTTCCATGTCCTTTCCGCGAGGGAGACTGTGTTTGGGTCCTCTCCGGGGAATTTGCGCTCGAGCAGGATGTTTTGCGCAAACTCCTTCCGAAATGGTTCGGACCATGGGAAGTCACTTCTGCCGTTGGAGACGACCCCGCAGGTCCTTCCTTTGTGGTCAACATTCCACCGCACCTTACAGTGCACCGGGTCTTCCACGCGTCGAAGCTGGCCATCTACACGCCACCTTCCGCTGACGAGTTTCCGGGCCGACGATCACAGGATCCGCCTTCTATGGACGGACATCAGGAAGTCGACCGAGTCATCACACACCGCAAGTATGGCAGCAAACCAATGCAGTTCAAAGTCGCATTCAAGCAATGTGCGCCTGACGACACTCGGTGGATCTCTCGTGCAGACTTGCTGACTTCTGCACCCCTTATCTTCGCCRACTATGAGAAGCGACGCCTTGCCAAGGAAGCAGCTCGTCCCGCCCGACCCATCCCGGTATCGGACAGACAACTCCGCCCTCGCAAGTAGCTCGGTCTTTTAAGAGGGGGAGTGTGTTACACATTGTGTCACATGGGCCTGGGTAGACCCGACAGATTGGGGTTCAGGGGCCGGTCCAGGCCCAAGGCCAGACCTTTACCACAGCGGAGCCACTCTAGGCCGCCGGTTGGCCCTTTTAGGCCACTTACGGACCAGACCCGATGGGCAGGCCCAAACGACATTACCGTTTGGGTCTGGCGGCGCTCTTGAGGCTGCCGCCCGCCGGTCTGATCTGAACCGTCGATCTGGACGATTCAGATCACGGCCAGGCCTCGCAGCATTGAGGCCGGCCTCTTTTCCACCGGTACTTAATACCCGTCCAGCCTCATTGTGAGGCATTGAGCACTGGGACGCTGCTGGAGCGCCAGTCGTTTCGGTTCAGAGCGGAGCAGCGGCATTGCGAGGAGCGCTGCGCTATTTTGGTTAGCGCACAGCGCTGGAGACAGCAGCTCTATTCCTAGCGCTGGACTGCACAGGAGTCGAGGAGCAGCGGGGAACTTACCTGGCACTTACCTGAGGCGCCATAGCTCCAGCTGCGCAGGTCTTCAGCGGCATCCGTGTACCTGCAGGTGAGGCCTGGATTCCGGACAGGACAGTGAGGTTATTCCTCCTCCCTACCTCACCGTCTCCTCCTCCTCTGCCACCTAGCTCTTCTTCTTCTTCAGACTCCTTCTTCTTCTTCAGACTGGAGACTTGATACTAGTTGGACAGAGATCAGTGTTGGACTTCGGTGGTAAGAGGCTGTGATACTTACCGGATTCGAGACTTGGAGATTGTTGGGGTTGATACTCGGAGGCACCACAGATTGGACACCGGTTACCTTAGGACTCTGTACCTCCGACATTGGTGACTTATTGTCCACAACATTTTGATCTTGTTCGATGACATTTTGGACTACCATATCGGTGACCTACTGGATTCTATCTCGGTGACATCTGGCGCTGCCTACATCTCCCACCTCCTTCATCTCTTCTCCCACCTTTCATCTGTGTATGGTTGTACGGGGCGTGAGCATCGTCTATGATTGGCTCAGACCCCACCATCTCACGATTGTTTGTGTGTTGGGTGATATCTGTATGAGTTCAGTCTATGTGAGTCAGATCATTTATCAGACTTCCGCTGCATACATGCTCATCCTATATTGGTTGATCTCTTGGTTCTGCCCATACTTGTTGAAGTACTCACAAGTATGCAACACACACACACACACACACACACACAAACACAAACACAAACAGACACACACACAAACACACACACACACACACACACACACACATAGAGAGAGAGAGAGAGAAAGAGAGAGAGAGAGAGAGAGAGAGAGAGAGAGAGA